ACGACTACGGAAACGAACCAAACATGCGGGTGTTTGGCCTGCATTGCATGGTATTGTGGTTCACTTCATGCCGTGAGTGTTTGTATGTGTGTTTGTATGTGTGAGTGTTTGTATATGTGTTTGTATGTGTGTGGGTGTATGTATGTGGTTTTACGCACACAGACACACAACGCACACCATCGCAGGAAAGTCGCATAGACAGCTTTCATTGGCTACTCTCCTCTATAGATCAGTGACCTTTCAATGGTAATCTGGTGGTTTGCGATTTTTCTTTTTAGAGTTCTAATTAACAGTAAACTTTTTTCTTTCTTTCACTTTTAACAGATTGAAGTGACTTTGTTATAGATAGTGTGTTCTAGCTCATCAGTAGGAAAATGATAAATGCATTTTTTTTTTTTTTTTTTTTTTTTTTTTTTGTAACAGGTACGATATCTGACTGAATAATCAGTCTGCTGCTGATAAAAGAAGAAGAAAAAAAACACACAAATCATATTTCTTTCACTTCTTATCCTCGTTGAGAACTATATATTTATTCGTTTATCTGTTCGCTTTCGGTCTCTTATTAAACGCTATCATTTTAGAGCAAACAGAAATAACATTACGTAGCATATTTTTTAAATATAATAAATCGGAAAGTTTATCCAAGATCATGAGCACGACGTGTCTCCCGCCGCCCATTCACACCATAACCCTAACAACACTATTACCACTTTACCATCACCATCAGCCGTCGCCACCATATCCTCATCCCTAACTACCATTTCCTCCGCCTTCCTCCTCTTCCTTCCCTTGTTAAGGATATTATGATTGTCCTATTATGTTTATGCAGCTGCATACGGTGTGTTTTTGAAACTTAGGATAAAACGAAACATTATACATTAAACATTAAGAGGAAAACCTGAAATTCCTCAGTCTGTATATTCTCAAAATGTACAATGCATATAACACATCCTAAACGGCCTCTTGTAAACAATGACAATATATTGATTTCTCTCTCTCTTTCTCTCTCTCTCTCTCTCTCTCTCTCTCTCTCTCTCTCTCTCTCTCTCTCTCTCTCTCTCTCTCTCTCTCTCTCTCTCTCTCGTAGACTCAAGGATATAAAAACATCAAGTCGTTTAGTGAGGCCTTCGCTCCGTAAACCACAGCTGACCAGAGGAGCACAACAACCCAAAAGAGACTATGGTTTATATCTCTTCGTGTGTCTGTTCGTAAAAATGTTGTAAATTTATTATGTTTTATATTCAAATAAAAATGTTTTAAATAGAAATAAAAAGTGAAACTTATTCAGCTATTAAAAGTTAATGAAGATGAATTCGAGGTCATAAAAGAAAGTTTAAAAGTTAAAAGAATACAGTAAAAATAAAGTTCCATGGATGAGATCCGCTGCTAAATACGCCCACAGTTGTAGATGAGCCATCACATCCACTACATTGGAATAAATGACGTCGTAAGTTCGCTTCAATTCTAAAGCGCCATGTTCGCTGCAGTGACACGAAATATCAATACCATTAAATTCTAAATCATTCGGTCTTCTGGGAGTATAAAGGACACCGTATAGCGTGGAATCGAGTTATTGAGTTACTTAAAGGATGTTAGAACATGCCTGTTTCTTTTCGCTTTGTGTTTGTTTGATGTTTTACCTTCACTGATATCTAGTATTACTGTATCATTTACTTTCTTAATCAAACGCATTACAGTTATATGACATATTCAAAAGTCTAATACCAAATAGTATTCTTGTTAAATAAATTATTCAATTAACTAACAGCTAATGAGCAAAAGTGATAAACAACAGTAAAATAAGTCAGTAACCACATATTTAAACGAAAGATAAAGAATTAAAATAGTAAAAATTCAAACACAAAAATCATGATGATAATGATAGTGATAATAGAATGGTAATAATAAGGGTAATGATGAAAAATTAGTACTAATAATACTATTGTTACTACAGTTATTACTACTACTTTTACTAGTATTGCTACTACTACAACAATACTATTAATGATAATAGTAATAACAAAAGCAACACCAGTAACAACAAATAAATTATATCAGTGATGATGATAGTAATAATGATAATAAGGATAGTATTGATAATGATGATAGTAATGATAATAATAGTGATAATAATAATAGTGACAATAATGATAATGATAATAATTTTAATAGTAATAATGAAAATAATGATGATAATAACAATGATATTAATAGTAATTATAACAATAAGAAGAAGAGCAATAATAATAATAATGATAATAATAATAATAACAATGATCAGATAATACTATCTATTGAAAAATGATGATGATGATGGTGACGATGATAATAATAACAATAAAGATAATGATAACGATAATAATAATAAGAAGAATGATAATAATAATAACAATAATGATAATAACAAACATAACAACAAATAACAAAAACGTCTTCCTTTGACATAGTCCTTCTCAGCATGAACGAATATGAGCAGACATAGATACGGCCTTGACTGCTG